TCGCCCGCGCCTGCGCCCAGAGGTTCCCTGCCCTTCCATCACCGGCATCCACTGTACGCGATCCTTCATCCGAACGCCGCTTGTAGCGTGTACACGACACCTTGACTGCCCCCGCAGACCAACGCCACACCATTAAAGCCGCGCCGCACATTGCCGAACACTTTTGCTCAAAAACATATCGTAGCAATGTTACATGAAATGTTCGCAATGCCTGCGCGTAAAAAAGTCGCCGAACTTCGTCCGAACAATTTCTGAAGCATCGAAATGCTGATATCTCGACAATTCTAGGAAAACATTGTAAATGCCATATCACGCCGCATTGGCCACACGCCGATCACGTGGACTCTTTACACCACAGCTACTAGACGGCCGCACGGCGTTGTTCGCCCTGCAAAATGTATCCGCAATGTGCGCCTCAGCAACTTGTTCCCCGCACATTGCCAGACAAAAACATTTGCTTCGCGCGAACATTTTTCCGCGGAAATGTCGGCCAATGTTCGCCAGGCTTAAAGCAAACGTAACTAGCACGTGGTCGAAACACGCATCCACGCTTCGATCGCCGTCAACGAATCGTCGAGTCACCACACTTGCACAAGCGTTTGAGAGGTGATAATGAATCTATTCCTTTCTTGCTTGTACAGCGAGTTTAGCAGATATAATGCTTTGTGGAACTTTAGTGCTACAATTTATGCTAGCAAGCAGCATGTACCTTTCTTAACTACTCTATGTTTTATCTTATTATATTACATATACGTACCTTATCTGATGTTATCTTGTATCTACGTACCTATCCTGCCCGCAGTAATATATTACTACACACGAGAGAACATAATACCTTAACTAGGCATAACTAACTATGACTAACATAACAGGCTCTACCTATTCTTACCTAATATCTATGGTTTATCTTGTGATCTACGATACGTATCACTTACCTTTATCTATGTTTTTATCTATGTATCATATCGTACCTATTCCTTACCGTATATATCTATGTTTATCTTGTATCTGACGTACCTATTCCTTACCATATATCTATGTTTATCTTGTATCTAGTACCCATATCCATACCGCTATATCTATGTTTATCTTGTATCTATGCTACCTATCACTTACCTGTATATCTTGTTTATCTTGGTATCTAACGTACCTATCCTTACCTATATCTATGTTTAATCTTTGTATCTTTACGTCCTATCCTTACCTATATCTATGTTTATCTTGTTCTACGGCTACTATCCTTACCATATATCTATTCTTATCTTGTATCTACGTACCTATGCCTTACCTATATCTATGTTTAGTCTTGTATTCTATGTACCTATCCTTACCTATATCTATGTTATCTGTATCTACGTACCTAATCCTTACCGTATATCTAAGGGTTTTCTGGTAATCTACGTACCGTATCCTTACCCTATATCTATGTTTATCTCTGTATCCTATGTTTACCGGATCCTTACCTAATATCTATGTTCTATCTTGTATCTAGTACTATGCTTACCTATATCTAGTTTATTTTGTATCTTGTCCTATCCTTACCTATAATCTATGATTTATCTGGTTATCTACGTAACCTGTATCCTTACCTATTATCTATGTTTATCTTGTATCTACGTACCTTCCTTACCTCATATCTATGTTTATCTTGTAATCTACGTACCTATCCTTTACCATATATCTATGCTTTATCTTGCTATCTACGTACCTATCCTTACTATATCTATGTTTATTATTAGTATCTACTGTACCTATCCTTACCTATATCCTATGGTTATCGTGATCTACGTACCTATGGCGTACCTATATATGCTTTATCTTGTATCTACGTACCTATCCTTACCTGATATCTATGTTATCGGGATCTACGACCTATCCTTTACTATATCTATGCTATATCTTTGTATCTATGCTACCTATCCTGTCCCTACCTATATCTATGTTATTCTTGTATCTATTGTACCTATCTTACCTATATCTATGGTTTATCTTGTATCTACGTACTATCCTTACCTATATCTGTATTTATCTTGTATATACGTACCTATCGCTTACCTATATCTATGTTTATCTTGTATTATGCTACTATCCTTACCTAATACTCATATGTATATCTTGTATCTATGTACCATCCTACTATAATCTATGGTTTATCTTGTATCTACGCTTACCTATCCTTACCATAATCTATGTATATCTTGTATCTATGCTACTATCCTACCTATCTATGTTTATCTTTGTATCTACGCTACGTATCCTTACCTATATCTGATGTTTGTTGTATCGGTTGTATCTACTACCTATCCTTATCCTATATCTATGTTTATTTGTTATCTACGTACCTATCCTTACCTATATCCATGTTTATCTTGTATCTTATTGTACCTATCCTTTACCTATATCTATGTCTTATCATTGATATCTACGCTACCTATCCTTACCTATATCTATGTTTATCTTGTATCTATGTACCTATCCTTACCTGATAATCTATGTTTATCTTGTATCTACGTACCTATCCTTCCTATATCTATGTTTTATCTTGTATCTAGTACCTATCCTTACCCTATATCTATGTTATTATCTTGTACTCCTACGTACCTATCCTTACCTATATCTAGGTTTATCTTGTTATCTATGTACCTATTCCTTACCTATATCTAGTTATCTGTGTATCTACGTCCTATCCTATACCTATATCTATGTTATCTTGTATCTACGTACCTATCCTTACCTATATCTACGTTTATCTTGTATCTACGTACCTATCCTGTGCTGTAATGTCGAAGCAGAAGCGTTTGTCTATTGACTCTGACATCCGCCGCACGCAGCTCGCAACCTTTAGCGTGTCCGTGTTCGTCTGCACGCCGCAAACAAACAAGTGAGCACCCCAACAACCAAACGACAAGTGGGCACCACAGTGACCAATTTATAGGTATTAGAAATGTCTTCAAAGTACCCTTTAGAGAAAATTATATTTGCGATAGAAATAATTAAAGATTGTAGAATCTTATCATTATTAGAGGCGACAGTCGGGTAAATCATTAGCAGTGTTTTCTACATTCTGCGATGTGATATACGTATGTGAGATGTGATGTTGTGTGTATATACGTACGATTTTGCCTTGTACTTGATGGTATGGAATTAAGGTGAATATCTTGCCCTCTTTCTGGTACATGCAGTAGTGCTTGGAAAACTTTGTGCCGAATGCCGCTGGAAATGCAAATGCAGTGGAAAAGTTAGCGCTACAACTCAATATCACTCATAATATTAACATCTAATAATCACATACAATAATAACTATAACAATAACAACAATAGTAACAATAACAATAATGATAACAATAATGATAACAATAGCAATAATAATAACAGTAACAATAACAACAAAAATAATAATAACAGTAACAATAACATTATCAATAACAATAACAATAACAACAATATCTTTTCTCGCTTCCCTCAGGTTTAACTGGACTCACTCCTCATGAGGGCATCCTACTCTACTCCACACTCCCTTGCAATCGGCTTCCCCCCCCCCTTCTCCCAGAACTTCTCTAGTTTAGTTCCGTAAGTAACTAACGTTCTCCGACAGTAAATCAGGGAATAAATGACTCCGGACTCGCGTTAATTTCGCACCCTGGTAAACAGTAGCTGCATGATCACTTACTGTTATGTTACTGTTATGAAAATGTTAGTGTTAAGACAAATGTTACGACTAATTTTGTTTCTGACAACGAGCCCCTGGTTGCTATGTTCCCCCACAAGATGCATCTAACCCTCTTCCTATATCTTTGACCCAAGTTCGCCCTGTTTGGTTCCTATTTTTGAAGCAAATTCCTCCCATGTTTATTATATTTCAACTACTATATACGCTGTATATTTCGCGGTGGCTTAATTTTGTGCTAGGGCCATCCTTCAAAAATTCTATGTTTGCTGTCCTCCGACCGACCCACGAAAATAGCCGCGACCCAGTTTTTTTTTGACATTTTGGGTTCCCTTTTTTTTTGTCTATATAAATATAAATATAACTCTACTACTGGTATTCTGGAAGGTGCATATACATTCCTCATAGTTAAGACCGAAACACAAAGCATGTGTGGCAAACATGAGGACAGACTTAAAATAACTATTATGCCTCACACACACACACACAAAGACCTACCTACCTACCCACTAAAAAAATCATGGGTCGAGGGACAGCAAACATAGAATTTTTTAAGGATGGCCTAGTAGCTGCGTGATCACTTACTCTTCTCCATGAGAAAGAGGTACCCCTGTCGCGTGTACATCTTGTTGTTGACGCCGCCCGCGTCCGACTTCTGCAAAGAGAGCAAACAGCGGCTTCCTTCTCTGTGCTCGCCAGGGAAGCTTCCTTCCTCCTCCCCTTCTCCTCCTCTCCGTGCTTCCCTCATCATCCCACCTTTCCGTCATAATCCCCTCTTCCTTGGCCACTGCATTCCCTGCACTCCCCAATGCAACATCTTGCCCCTTTCTCCTCGTTATCCATCCCACCCTCCTTCTCCCTCCTCATTTTATCTCTCTCTCTCTCTCTCTTCTCTCTCGCTCTCGCTCTCGCTCTCGCTCTCGCTCTCGCTCTCG